ATGGAGCGAGTTGAGATAGGGGAAGAGTTGAGGCTCACTTCGAGATCGTATCGAAAGCACATACGATTCATCATTTGGATCTACCAAAGGTACGGTAGCGAAGGGCTGGTCCTCGCACGGTTCTGAGCGAAAGTCGGATGCATGGCGTATCCAGTAACTCATCAATCCAACGAAATCCTGTTTTTGATTCGCCTACATAATTTTCTTAGAATTCATCCCCAGATGACAGTCTCTTTCTTTACCTACCTCTTTCTCTCTTTCTTTCTCTCTTCCTCTCTCTCTACCTCTCTTCCGTGGCCACTGAATAACATCGATGTATGCGTGGATGCATTCGTATTGTCTAATTCGACACAACGTTAATCGGCTAATCCACTTTCGTCCTCGAAGCCCACCTGTACGGCCTTCGTAGTCCGAAAAATCACAACACCTTATTTAAGGATTAACGTCGCTACCGGTAACACAACACTGGCCGTTGGAGGTCATTGCGCTGATTAACCCGTCACGGGGGGCAACTCAAGAGAAAAGGGGGACTAACCGATCCAAAATAGTAACCAGGGCAAGAGATTTTTTTCATCTAGAGCCGGTTCTTCCACCACGAAGCCCCTTAGTAAGAGCGAGATGGTTATTTGAAAGAAAACCAATTGCATGGAGTGTTTTAAAGGAAATGGATGACCTCCTTCCCTAGTTATTGTTTAATTACTTGTTTATTTTTTATTTATGCGCTCTAAAAGGGATCAAGATGAGACAATAAATCATCTGGAGGACTGAGTATTGGTGTCCAATGAGCATGGATCCAAGAGAATGACCTACACCTACCCCACGACCAAAAAAGAAAGAAACCCTTGGTAGAAAATAAGCCAAATGAGAATTGGAGTAAGGGAAACATGAGAAAGCAAAATATATCCTCTCAAACTACAAGTTCGCTATCCATGTAACCAAAAACGGATTTGGAGGATTCTGGGAAGGTACTGAGCAAAACAAAATTATTGGATATGCGCTAAGGAGTTCGATACCTCCCATGATCCCCCTCCACAAAAATCTAAGAAATTCAGAAAATCCATGAAGATCGAATTGAGAAGAGAATTGCCTCAAGATGTGTTTACAATGGCTAAGAATAAACAATCAGCACCACAGCACCACAGGTACTAGCACGTTTTTGGGTTACGGTGGTGCTCGGGAAAGTACGCAGTTTCGCCCCTAACGCTGTTTGCCGTAAAATAATCTACGGTCGATCGGTGATTAAAGAAGTTTTTGTAATTGTTTTCGTTTGTGCTTTATGTTTGTTGTTATTGCTTGCTGTGATTTTGGAATTTCGAAGTATTTTCTGTAATTATCCTATAAGTGAATCTTGCTTTAGATGCTTGCACGACGTCGAATATTGCAATTATTATTATTGAATTCTCAAAAATTATGTGAATGTCGAGTTATATGTGCCCCTTTATCGACGAGAGCACTGAAAGTAGTTGTAAATGGTGAGTTTTGAATTTCCTTATTTGAACATTCCTCTACCCTTGATTCTTTTGTAATTATGATGCAATTTGGTGGTTTATTGAAAATAAAAGTCTTATTAATTACCTTACTCGTTTACTCCTTTCGCAATGTCCCTTATGATTGATGACTCGGTTTATTCAGACAGGACGCTGCTGGTAGAGAAGCCAAAAAGAAGCGGCTGGAAAATGGGTAAGGGTGGTGACGCTTGGAGAACTGCTCTTATCGCCGATCTCGAGAAAGAACTGAAAGCAGAAAACAAGCGGTTCAGTATTTTACAGGGAAACCGAGCACAGCACGCTCAACTTATTAGGTAGGTGCGGTAACTCTTTGGTTTCGGAATGGCCTTGACTTTAGTATTCAGATATGCAATTTCGGAGGATCTGCCATCTGTTATTTCTGTTATATATCAAAGGGTACGTGTAGTAAGCAAAAGAGGCAAACTGACCGAAGAGGATGATCAGGTTAGAAGGAGCTTTTTATTTTCAAGAATCTACCTTTTTCATCTCGCACCATCTCTTTCTCAGGTTACAGTGACTTGAAATCCGTTTAGTTCATCTCATTCGCTTTGACGATTCTGCAGAAAAGCTTAGAAACGTTTCTGAAAGATAAACGGAGAGCAAATATGCCGGAAATGCTGTCCACCTTTTTCTCTTTCGGTTAGTGCTTCGATACAGTATTCAATTGCTAGTTCTTATCGGCTTGCTCATGAAAGAAGCGCTTTTAAGCCAATCTCTGGGATCACATTGTTTTCTTCGGTAACGATATGCGAATATCCTCGGCTCTTCTGTACAATACATTTGATCGTTGGTCACAGC